GAGTGCTCACTTCAGTTTGGCATCCACCTGGCTGTGCCAGCAGCTGTTCCAGGCCAGGAGAGACAGGGGGACAAGCTGCCATGGTGCGGGCAGGAGGAATGTGAAGAATGAAAGGTGTTGTTTCGTGACTCCTCACACCACGAGCCAGGTGGCCAGGTAAGCTGGACACCAGCACATCACATCCATGGCAACACAATGTAAACTTTAAAGCTCTGCAGGACCCTCACGTCAAGTCATCGTTATGCCAAGTGGGGCAACTATCACAGAAGGGCTTTGGTGCAATGGAAAGGGGAACAACGTTTGACTTTGATTGCTTTTTTTTTTTTTTTTGTGTTTTTTTACTTCATTTTTTTGTGGTTTGCAACGTCCGTAAAGAAATGTTTTGGCGCAATACATTTTCTAGTGTGCAATGACAGATTGGGGTGAGTGTTTGATGCACAGCCAGCAAATGCCATGAGTTATTGTAGAGGCCTCATTCACCACACAGGTGATCCAAAGTCCTTCTTATCAGCTTTTAAAATACATTTAGCTTGGCCAGTTCAAATGAAACATTTTATTGATGACATTGACTAAGGTGCTGTCTACACTGGGTGTCTCACCCCATCAGGACATTTACCTGGCATGGCTATGCTCTAGCATGTCCTCTTGCCTTGCAGCACAGGGATGTTGTTCTGCACTTCCCAAGCACAGCTTGATTCCAGACCCGGGAAGGGTGGAAATGTGGCCTTACATAGCCTGAGATAGTTTCCTAACGTGGTTCTGTAAGCTCACTGCTCACTCTCAGTGCACAAAGTTAAAGGTGTCAAACCACAGGCTGCCAAAGTTTGCAATGTTTTCGATGTCAGAGTCAGAGACATATTGCAAACAAAGTAGAGGAACCTACATACATGTGAACTCCACCATTCTGCAGCAAGGCAGTAACAATGCAAAACCCTCCTTTGTTTTTCACTACCTGTTCCTCAGAACCATGGTCATGAAAATATTTTTGGCAGGGTTTTAAAGGCTATTCTTGCCCACTGGCTGAGCAAGCTGTGTGACAGAGAAAACTAGATGGAGACAAGGTACTCTGGTTTGGCTTGAACACTCCCAGAGAAAGAGAGGCTTGGCAGGGATTTAGCTTACAACATGTTTGCCAAGTATCTCAGATAAAGCTGCCACAGTCAGTCCTCGCCAGCCAAGCAAACAACATCTACTGATGTCAGGATGAGCCCTAGTCAAACAGCCCTGTTAAGACAGAGCCTTTGAATGTCTCTGTGGACCCTGTCTGCCTGCAAGGAAACACCTGACCCAGAGGTCATGGCCACTCCACCCCACTTTCTCCCCCATCCCTGTCAACAAATTAATTTCTGGAAAGAGACGGATGCACAACACAGACCTTCTGTCACAGCCCAGAATGGCATCCTGGGGCAGTGAGCTGATGCTGAACATTATTGTGGATGGCAGCTGCTGCCACACGTCTCCCTCCAGGAGCTTTCATTTCCTGCTGCCTCGCTGGGGCAGAGTCCGTCATCTCCACTGGTCACCGTGCTCTTGCACACCCCTGGGCTTGTAACAAGAGCGAGGCTGCCAGGGGATGAGGGTAAGGGTAGGAGGCAATAATAAAATAATAAACTTGGACAAAGTAGTCATGAGCCAGATGAGGGAAGAGTTTCTTCCTGTGTCTGGTTTTGTTCAACTTCCAAGTCAAGGATTCTGGAGAAAGAGGAAAAAAAAAAAGTGTCATTTATTATTTGTCACATCAGACAAGCATAAGATGATACTCTAAAGCTTTTATTGAGCCATTTACAGCTATTGCAAACATAGTAAATTCCCCTCCTAGGAGATTTCCACTTGAATAATGAAAATCCATTTCAGAATGGTTCTGAAACTTAAGGCTGAATAATCTTGATTCAACCCAGAAAAGAGGATGTGGAGCGAGCCCTCTTCATAGCTTCAAGCAGGCCAGACAGTGAGAGGAGCTGCACTGCAGAGGTGAATCCAGGCAACGTCTGACTGAGAAGTGGCAATGACCATCTCACTGAGGACCCTGGTTTTCTGAAGCTCACAACCCATGCTCAGGCTCTGCAATCATCACTCTGATGCAGAGTTAGGGAACCCGATCCTTCACATAGCTGGTTTATTTACATGGTCCCACCCCACCTCCTGGAGAGCTCATGAAAAATTAAATGGGGAACATAAAATATGAATGGGATGATCACTGGCCCATAAAGGCCCTGAAGTTCCTGAAAGGTGGTTTACATGTAACAAATGTTGGATTTTAGGAAACAGGTTTCTGTCTTTTTTTCCAAAGCAGCTGCAGCACTTTTCTAGCCTCTCTGTAAAACAAGGATCCTTCAAGGATGTTCTTTAGGGAGAGCACATTGGTCCTCCATGCAGTGCAGGGGTCTGCTCCCCATTAGTTACCAGTGAGCAAGCTAAATAGAGCCCAGTACACGGGTATAGTGAAACCACACAGAAATCTAGCTTGATGCTGCATTGTCAGCAAAAGCACAAGACCAAAAAAAAGATGAACACATGATCAGAACTACAGGACTTACCTTGCAATCACGTGATGATAACAATTCTCAGCTTAAATTCTGCCAAGTAAATGTAATATTTAACTTATGCTAGCGCTTAATGACTCATAGCCTTTATTCTGAGTGCTGTGTATGGGTATTTTTAGTTGACCTTTCTGAAGGCTCTTGTTCTGCTGCCTAAATGATATGTTCTCAGTTTTCAGAAATTATCCTCAAAGCAGCCATAGCCCTGCTGCTGAGGTCTGTCAGCTGAGAGTCAGCCCTAGTATGCTTAAAATGGACCCTATGGATTAGTGTTTCCTAGGCTGCCAGAAGTTTTGGTGCCAAAGGAAATTGCTGCCAGTGTAAAGCACTTCCTTGTTCTAGTATTAAAATTATTGCAGAACGACCAGAGACTTGAATGAACTTGCTCCTTACTTCACAGAGGTCTTTTCAGCACCCTGTTAGGCTATGTGCTATGAACTGTCATTTTGTCTTAGAAAATAAAAGAAAGACACTGACCAAGCCCATGTGAAGCTACAGTGGCTCAGCCCCTGCAAAAGAGCTTTCCCCCTCCTGCCCATGCCTTGGACCTGGTGATGCACCTCCTCTGTAGATTGCATGCTCCCTAGGGTGGTCACCAGCATCTCCTGTCTCAGCTGCAGTGCTGGACTTGCTCAGCACCATGCAAATGGGTGGGGAAAGGGCCAACTGCTCCCTCCTGTGATGATAACTGTGGTTCTGGTCCTGGGCCCTAGCCCTTGCAAGGGCATTCAGGAGCAAACAGACTTTTATTTGTTTTCCTGGTTGGTCTTCTTATGTGGCTTACTGCTTGCGCTGAAATCTGTCTCACATCTTCTTCCTTCAGCAAGGCCAGCAGATGCAATGAGCTTCACAAACTGCCACCTGCATCATTTTGTTTTGTGTATCTCCCTGGCCTTTTATCACAGAAGAACGAGCAAGGAGAAATGACTAGTTCAGGAGAGCCCTTTCTTCTCCCTAAGGTAATTTGGGAAAGGATCTGTTATATAACACTTCTTTAAGCTGTCAGCCAGATACCTGACAACCATTCTTATCTACTTGGGTTTGAAAAGTTTGTGTGAAAATAGCTCTCTCCCTTCCCCTTCTTCCTCCCTCAACTTGCAGAAAGAAAACAAGCTTTTGAGAAAAATGCAGATTTTAAAAGTGATCCAAATTTCACATACTTAACACCAATTCCAAGGAAGTAAATGCATTTCTGTATTATAGAGATTAAAGGATTTGGGAGCGACAGCCCCACATCCATGTAGAAAGAGGCTCAGGCACTATATTTCTTCACGTGCTCTACCAACAGCTGTGTCTGCGCTAAGTGATGTTCTTCTCACGCACCAATTACAAACTGTCAGAAAATATACATGTAATTCTTCATATCAAAACCTACTCATGCAATTTTTAAATACCACACTGTAAGCTGGAGTACTTATCCTAAGGGCTTCAGTGTACTGGAAGAAGGAAAAATTGTTATCTACCAGCTTATCAATACCAAAGGCTCCATTTTTTTTTCAGGAGACCAGATGCAAAATAAACACCACTTTCATTAAAACCAGCATACTGTCTTTTACCAAGACTAAATTTGTTCTGCTTCTCCTGTGAAGTAACTGATTTCCAAGCCTAGATGCCACAGATTTGTATTAATTATCTTTAGTTTAAAACAGTCAAGTACCCCCCTAACCAAGGCAAACCACACAAATGATTTCCAGTTACCAGTGCCAAACCGCACAGCAAAACCCACTGCAGGGGAGTCAAATCCACTACAGTCAAAGGGGACAGAAAACTTCAAGCCTGTGAAATGCCAGGAGCAAACTTATGGTCTCAACAGAAAGCTGTGGGGATAAAAAGATTGCTGAGAGGAGCACGGACTCAGCTTCGCTTTCTTGATTCTTGAGGGTGCCTATGTGTAAGGGGAAGGCAGAAAGAGTGAGGGAGAGTAAGGAGAGGAAAACTGTAGCAGGGTAGTGTAAATATAGCGTACTCCTAATTAGTAGTAGTTTCAGCAGTATACTGTAAATACAGTGTACTGCTAATTAGTAATAGTTTCAGTTCAGTCTGTTATCTAAGCAACTATAATTAAGGGTTGAATGCTTTTCTAAGTTTTTTTTCAGCATTAAACATAGTACGACTTGGAGAAAGCAAGCTATTTACAAAGCAGGAATATGCGAAGGACAGACATCCCTCACAGGCACAGACTCTAATTTCATGTGAGGGGGTCTGATCTAAATCTGGCAAGCTGCACACATTTGTTTGTTTGTGTTTTGTAATGACACGTATTTCTGCTTTGCAAAAAGGCCGTATTGGAACAGACAGTATACAAACCACACTTTCCTTCAGCCCTTCATGAGAAGGTTAAAATAAACTAAGAAGAGCCAACTGCTTGCTAAAGAGGAAAGAGAAACATATAAATCGACAGGGCGAGGCTTTGCACACACCTTGAGTTCGCCAGGCTGCAGTGCATGCTGAAGGAGGCCATCACGCCAGCTCCTGGATCACCTTGTTACTCTCCTTGGCTTTCTTACACGTGTACAGCCATTTGATGATGCGAGCGTTGCGCTCAATCACAGAGGTGCTGCTGGGGACCTGCTCCGTGAGTTCGTCCTCCAGCAGCCCCTCGTCCCCGCTGTGCCTCGTGAAGTCGCTTTCAGACGTTGCCACACTGATGCTGCGGATCTTGAAGGAGATGTTGTCGGACACTATGGAGAAGTTCTCTCTCCCGAGATCCTCGATGACTTCCTGCTCCAGGCCACAGTACTTGAAAAATGTATCAAACTCGGAGAAGGACTTGGAGTAGCGAGAGCTGATGTCCGACTGGGAGCGATGGAGACCTCTCCTCTTCACCTCCTTGACCTCTTCAGGAGGTATACTCAGTTTTGAGGGTCTGTCATGCTCTCTCGAACATGCCTCTGGGGCTTCAACACTCACCTCGACGGTGTGCTCTGCTCCATGGTTGCTCGGCTCACGGTCACTGTCTTTTGCTGAGAAAAGCTCATTGCTTTCAGTGCCTGTGGTGTCCTCCATGACTCTGGGCATCACAGGGGAAGCCAACTGCTTCTCCTTCACGGACCCCTGGAAGATTCTCCTCACCAAGCTCGCCCGTGAGCCATCCTGGCTTTGACCTCTCCCAAACTCGCATTTCTGACGGTAAATCACCAGGGAATCTGGCCGCACCTGCCTCTTGGGGGTGCCGCGCCTGGCGATGGGGGGCCCGTGCTGCACCTGGCGATGGGGGGCCCGTCGGGAGCACACCTTAGCCAGAGCCAGAGGCTGC